TCTGGAGGAGGTGGAGGGCGTGGGTGGTGTCACGGATGTAGGTAGGGAGTTCCTGGACCAAGGGGGAGAAAATGGAGTCCAGACAGTTGGAGATCAGTTCGGTGGGGCAGGAGCAGGCGGAGACAATGGGTCGACCAGGGCATTCAGGTTTATCGATTTTGGGAAGGAGATAGAAGCGGGCGGTGTGGGGTTGGGGAACGATGAGGTTGGAGGCCGTGGGTGGGAGGTCACCTGAGGTGATGAGGTTGTGGATGGTTTGGGAGATGATGGTTTGGTGCTCGGGGGTGGGGTCATGATCAAGGGGACGGTAGGAGGAGGTGTCAGAGAGTTGGCGTCTGGCCTCGGCGATGTAGAGGTCAGTGCGCCATACTACAACTGCGCCTCCCTTGTCCGCGGGTTTTATGATGAGGTTGGGATTGGAGCGGAGGGAGCGGAGGGCTGCACGTTCTGCGGGGGAGAGGTTGGAGTGGGTGAGAGGGGTGGAGAGGTTGAGGCAATTGATGTCTCGACGGCAGTTGGAGATGAAGAGGTCGAGGGAGGGTCGGAGGCCTTGAGGTGGTGTCCAGGAGGAGGGGGTGTGTTGGAGGCAGGAGAAGGGGTCAGTAGAGGGAGGGTTAGGTTCACAGTTGAAGAAGTAAGCGTGGAGGCGGAGGTGGCGGAAAAACTGCTCTATGTCCAAACGTGACCGGTATTCGTTGATGTGTGGGTGAAGGGGGACAAAAGTAAGCCCTTTACTGAGGACTGACTGTTCGTCCTCAGTAAGGGGGAGGTCTGGGGGGATAGGTGAAGACTCGGCAGGGCTGGGTGCTATTGACCCCTCTGGAGCTGTTGGCTGTGGAGGCTGTGGGCAGAGCGACGTCGGCGTAGGCTGTGGGCGGAGTTGCGTCGGCGGTGGGCGGAGTTGCGTCGGCGTCGGTGATGGGCGGAGCGGCGTCTTCGGTGGGCGGAGTGGGGTAGGCAGTGGCAGCAGCGGTGACAGTAGGCAAGTCTTCAGTGTCTGTGGTGTTGGTCTCGGAAATGGAGGCGGTGGCATCAGCAGCGATGGTGTTCGCTGTCCCGAAAGTGGGGTCCCCGGCGGTGGCGGATGTGACGTCATCTGTGGGTTCTCCGACAGTGGCCGCATGGCAACGGCGGCAGGCACATTGTGGGGAAGGTCCTGGGTAGGGTTGGGGATTTGGGGGGTGGAGGAAGCCCGTTTTGGGCGGTAGGCACCAGTAAGTTTACTGTACTTAATGGTTTTTAGTGTCCAATAAAGCTGAGTAGAATTGTGAGTTCAGGTTGTGGATCCTACGAAGAATGAAAAACAGGAGAGGTCCTTTGCAGGACTGGGAGAGGGAGGCTCTGAGCTGGGGTAGGCTTGATTGTAGTGCCCGGAGATGCCAGCGCATTGCTGCGAGTGTGTGTTTCAGGAGTCGCAGGGAGAAACGCTTCTGAAGGATCTCAATGCTATGAATGTAGATATTGTCATGGTTGGGGCCAAATTGGGAAGGCCTGAATGTGGATTGTAGTCCATTGGGGATGATCTGGTTCCGTGGGCAGGTACTAAGAAAGGTGATGTGGCTGTAGTACCTGGTTTGCTTACCCAGTTGTGAAGACATTTAAATCACTTGGCCTTCAATTTTTTTTTCGAAAAACTGCTATATAAATCCATATATATGTGGATATGTTTGGAAGTTTTTCTAAAAATATATACAAAGGCCTTGCTATTTCACACTGTCTGTTTATATATGTCTGAGAATTATCATTATAGGATTTGTTCTATATGACTGAGTTCACAATCTATTATCACAGTGACATATCTGTCAGTGCACAGTTTGAGGACATCTCCGAGTGCTTAGAAACTCTTTGACAGAGAACTGTATTCATATCAGATGCTTGTTTTTATAAGTATTAAGTCATTGATGGAAATTAAATGTAGTAAATGGGTTTTTATCAATGAGAGTTCTTTTTTTAATAGTGAATTCATGGATAGACACTGTAGATATTTCTTTTCTTTCAGTTCAGCATGCGTTCTGAGCTCTGCCAATAGTGGATACTGGATGAGTTGATGTGAAGGGTGTAAGGGCTAAAGGTGGGAAGCATAGATTGGTATGAATTTGTACTAAAATAATGTAGGGCATTATAGGGGCCATATTTGTTGATAGAGAGGCATAGGTTAGCATGTAGGACATGAGGTGGTATCAAAAGTATGAGGAGCCATGGAGCATATGTGAGAATTGAGGTAGAATAGGTTAGCATGAATAGAGAGGGTGTGAGGCTATTGACTTTTGTTTAATTTTCACGAAGTATCAGAGCACCTGGCAACCCCTCTACATGTCTTCAAACTCTTTCAAGGGTGGTGAGCCCAACTCCAGTTATTGTGCCACTTTAACGCACCACCCTGTTCCCTGGCCAACATCTCTGTCTCTGGCTTGCTGCAGCGTTCCAGTGAAGCCCAATGCAAGCTGGAGGAACAACACCTCATTTTCCGCTTGGGGACCATACAGCCCTCCGGACTCAATATTGAGTTCAATAATTTTAGGGCCAAACTCTCCCATGTCCCAGCCCCCTATCCCACACACCAGGCCTTGTTTACACATAGCCTGCCATTATACACCCACTGTTGTTAGTCACTAATAGTCCCTATTAACAACTATTCACCCTCCCAGCCTGATTGTTATCAACTCCTTTGTCTGTCCAACTGTCTTTCTCTCTCTTTGGGCTTTATCCTATCGTTTACTCCTTACCCCACCCACCTTTCTATTTCCTGCATATAAACTGACGTTTTCCCAGGCACTATCAGTTCTGAGGAAGGGTCACCGGACCTGAAACGTTAACTCTTCACAGATGCTGCCAGACCTGCTGGGCTTTTCCAGCAACATTGTTTTTGTTCGTAAAGGCATAATTCAGTTTCAGTTACTCATGAACATGTCTTTTTTACGGTTCTTAAACTTTACAGAACTTCACTGAATTCTACAACTTCTGAGCATGATTTCCATATCCTCCATTTTCCTAATGATCAAAAACCTTCTAACATTCTTGTCCACCCACCGCCATACGTACAGACAGCTCCTTTTCACAACTTCATTTACACCCTTTTTACATCTCCACCTTCCTTTCACCACTATTAGCAAACCATTTTCTTTATCTCCAAGCATCCATACAATCTCTTCCACTTGCTCCTCCTCCCCCTCTGTCTACAGCATAAAAAAATCACAATTTGCCAACTGCTGTCCGTTCTGAAGAAGTGGTATATCAGATTCAAAACATTAACTCTATTCTCTGCCCATTGGTACTGCTGGAACTGTTGGGTTTCTCCAGCTAATTCTGTTTTTATGTCAGACTTACATAATCTGCAGTAGTTTACTTTCATTATTACCGAACTAGACTCCAATTGCCATACTTCAATTAGTTTTCCATGCTTACTAATTCTTGGTTCTGCTGCTATTAACAGTTATGATGATGAGAATATCTTGTGCAGTTTTTACAACACTACTTGACTCCAATGAGGCAGATAGAGTGGCAGGAAATTCAGACACTTTGTCCAATACCATCGCTAGGTCTGGCTTTTATTGGCATGTCCACAAATCTGGGCCATGTCAAAGGTAATTTGTCTTAGTGGCTCTGCTTCACAAGGTAAGCCACCACAGAAAAGATCCCATAGTGCTGTTTTCAAAAATAAACAGGAGTTCTCACAGCATCATGCCATCCATCCTCTTTCACTACACCAAAAGAAACAGAATAATAGATCACTGAGATAGCAAGAACTGCAGATGCTGGAGTCAGAGATAACAAAGAGTGGGGCTGGAGGAACACATCAGACAAGGCAGCATCAGAGGAACAGGAAAGCTGACGTTTCGGGTTGCGACCCTTCTTCAGAATAATAGGTCATTCATTTTTCCTCTACTTGTGGGACACTGCTACTTGAAGCTGACTACCTGTGTTCTATACTTCAAAAGTAAATTCATTGCATGAAGCATGATAATAATTCAGCGTGACAAGTGCAAGTATTATTTACCCCCACTTTGGATAGCTAAAGATCTAAAAGAAAACAAGACCGTTGTCATGCATATTTGTTGTGGGTTGATAACTAAGAATGAAACTACCTCCCTCATCAGATATACTTTGGACTAACAAGGCTTCCAACCTGAGACAAAACAACAATAGGCGTTGGAGTATATTATCCTGTGTTCACTATTTGAGCAAAAGTTGATGCGAATATAAATCAGGATTGCTTTCACCCAGATCTACTCTTTTGCTAAATATAGTAGAGGAAAATATACCCTATGATGTCTGCTTTGAGGAGTAAAAAGATGATGGGCCAAGCATATGTTTTCCCTATTGAATAAACGAAAGCAAACACCCAGAGTGTGCATTAACTTGAGGCAAAGAAACTCTGGCATTAAGTTATTTAACTTGGCAACTATGAAGAAACCTAAGGCAGCCAAAGCAGTAACGGCAAAAGCTATAATTCACTATTTTCTTTTCATTCTGTCCGTCTTATAAAGAATTGCAGAGTGTACAAGTATATATTGCATCTATACATTTAGAATTATATTTATAAAAAGAACTAAATTGCTTTCAGTGTACTAAAGTTAATTTCAGAGCCTACTAATAGGATAGAGATATCTGTGCAGTACTCGCCTTATGCAGAGGACTATAATGAAGTAGTACTGCAAACAACAGTTCAAATCCCAACATGGTTATTAATTAAGATGTTTAAAAAGTCTAGTAAAGATCATGAAGCTACCAGACTATTGTGAAATCTCACTAATGTCATTTGGAAAACAAAATCTGCTATCTTTTTCTGGACTGGCCCATATGCAACTTCAAATCAACAGTAATGTGCTTGCCTCTTGACTGTCTAGGAAATGGCTCAGTAAAGCACTCAGTTGTATGTGGCTCATCAGCATCTGTTCAAGGATGAACAGGGGCAGGCAGTAAATGCTGGCCTTGCCAGCAATGCTCATATCCCAAGTACAAATAATACAAAAAACTATTAAGTCTTTATAAAAGGATACAGGAATAAAAGTCATTTACTGCAGACAGGCAACTGATCTCCTGGGTGTCAGACATCTTGAATTTGCCGACCAATTTGCTTTTGCTCTTCCTTTTGTAACTAGATAAAGAAGATATGTTAGCAACAAATCATTGCTTTGTTTTTCACAAACTCAATGCAAATAAGTGCGATGTGATACACCTTGGTACAAAGAACATGGAGAAACAATATAAAATGAAGCTTGCGACTCTAAAGGGTGCTCAGGAGCAACCAGACTTGTGTGTGTATATGTGCATCAGTGACTGAAGGTAGCAGGGCATGTAGAAAGGACAGTTAATAAAGCTGCAGTATCTCGGATTTTTTAATAGGGACACAGAGTACAAGAGCAAGGAGAAGATGCTGAACTTATATAAGACACTAGTTAGACCTCAGCTGGAGTAATGAGTACAGCTCTGGATGCCATAATTCAGGAAAGATATGAACACATTGGACAGAGTGCAGAAGAGGTTTACAAGCATGGTTCAATGAAAGTCAACAGTTATGAAGATAGATTGGAGAAAATGAACTATTTTCCTGGGACAGAAGAAGGTTAAGAAGAGATCTGATTGAAGTTTTTAAAATCATAAAAGGGTTCTGGACAGAGTAGACAGGGAGAGCCTGGTCCCACTCATACAAGGATCAAAAAAAAGTGGATACAGACTTAGATTAATTTGCAAAAGAAGCAAATGCAATATGAGGAAACAATTTTTCACACAGCAAGTGGTTAGGGCCTAGAATGCACTGGCTGGGAGTATGGTGGAGGCAGTTTCAATTGATGCATTCAAGGAAGCATTAGATGATTATTTGAATAGGAACAATGTCCAGGGTTTATGGGGAAAGGCAGGAGAATGGTACTAAATCAGTACACTCATTTGGAGAGCCACTGCAGATATGATGGGCCACATGATCCCATTCTGCGCTGTAATAATTCTGTGGTTCAGTAATCCTGCTTCAAAGAAATGTATATATAGTTTTTGTCATCTCTAAGGCATCTTTGAAAGATTTAAAGTAAGGGAATCAAGTGCCTCAAATTGTCTCGCTGACAGTGATTCTCAAGCCGATTGTGCAAAGGAAGAGAGGGAATGAGAGAAGGTTGGCACTGATCAGCAGCAGCCCTCAGGATTGCTGTGGTACTGGGAAGTGCTGGACGGTGGGGAAGAGACATGGCATTGCCAGGAAACATGAGCAGAGCAGCCCTGACGCTTATTAACATTTGCAGTTGGTGTAATGCCTAATTAAGATAGCAGCCTGGAATTCCTTAATATTTATCTGAGGCTATTATGCCATTGATGGATTGAAGGTGTTCTTGGGGCATTGTACATGGTCCAGTGAAACTGGTCTTCTTTGCCTGTTTCTGCCTGCCAATGAAGACCATTACTTATCCCAATATTGTTTCTTTATTATAACAAAATAGTATTATCTTCCTGACACTGTTGAAACAAAACTGACTAGACATACCCTGGTGGTGAATAGTTAATTGTTAATTATGCTGAAGAATTTAGTGATAGCATCTACTGGCCAGGTTATCTAGTTTAAATGGTCTGGCACATATAGCCATGATGTGAAGGTGCCAATGTTGGACAAAGTCAGAAGTCACATGACATCAGGTCATAGTCCAATAGGTTTATTTGAAATCACAAGCTTTCGAAGCGTAACCCCTTCATCTCTCTTCTCCTGATGAAGGGCTATGCTCCAAAAGCTTGTGATTTCAAATAAACCTGTTAGACTATAACTTGGTGTCGTGCAACTTCTGACTTTGGCACATATAGAAAAGAGTAGGGGCTTAGGCAGTCCTTTATTATACAGGGACAGAAAGCCTTGGATTGATATGTTGCTCAAGGTAAGATAACTACACCCAAATCTGAGGAAAGGAAATGATAAAACCATCCAACCAAAAGTAAACATTAGCTGCAGCCTTCACATCTTCACCATTCCATCCTACACCACATTGCATTGCTCTTAATAAAAAAATGTGAAGTTTTCTATCATACTGCCTGGCCCATTTTTCTCTTTTCTATATATTCATAAGATGTAGGTAATGTTGGCAAAGGTAGTACTTAATTGCCTATCTCTATAAATATCTTGATACACCCTGATCAAAAGAACCTGTTTATATTTTTTATATTCTTAAATATTTGTGATCTATGCAGGAATAATACTAAATGTATGCCTTTTTAACATATTCAAAATTGGAAGTATAAATGTGGGAAAAATAAGTGAGATAAGTAATCCTAAAAACTATACCTAATTCCTTCTTGAAACAGTCAATGCTTTGGTCTCACATGCTTTCTGTGGCAGAGAATTCCACAGCAAGAAGGTATTTCTCCTCACCTTAGTCCTAAATGCCTACACCATATCCTTAAACTGTGACCATGGTCCCCAGTCATCAGGAACATCCCTTCTGCGGTTATCCTGTCTAATCCTGTTAGAATTTAATAGGCTTCTATGAGAATCCTTTTCATTTTTATAAACTCCAGGGAATTTAGTCCAAATCAATCTAGTCTCTGCCGGTACATCAGTCCTGTTGCAGCCGTACAGGATACTGGTTAGGTCACTATTTGAATACTGCGTCCAATTCTGGTCACCCTTCTGTAGGAAAGATGTTGTTAAACTTGAGACGGTGCGGAAAAGATTTAAAAGGATATTGCTGGGACTGGAGGGTTTGAGCTATAGGGATGGGCTGCATAGGTGGAGCCTTTTTCCCTGGAGCATCAGAAACTGAGGGGAAGCTGACCTTATAAAGTTTTATAAAGTCATGAGGGGCATGGATAGGGTGAATAGCCAAGGACTTTTTCCTAAGGTGGCAGAGTCCAAAATTAGAGGGCATAGGTTTAAGGTGAGAGGGGATAGATTTAAGAAGGACCTGGCGGTAACTTTTTCATGCAGAGGGTGGTGCATTATGAAACGAGCTACCAGAGAAAGCGGTGGAGGTGAGTACAATTACAACATTTGTAAAGCATCTGGATGAGTATATGGAGATGACAATAACTGCCGATTCTCGAGTCAGAGATAACATGGTGTGGAGCTGGAGGAACACAGCAGGCCAGGCAGCATCGGAAGAGCAGGAAAGTTGACATTTTGGGTCCGGACCCTTTTTCAGAAATGGGGGAGGGGGAAGGGAGCTCCAAAATAAATAGAAAGGAGTGGGGTTGGGGAAGGTAGGTGGGATGGTGATAGGTGAGTGCTGGTAGGCAGTGGTGGGGATTGGTTAGTGAGGTGGGAGGAGCGGATAGGTGGGAGAGAAACCCCATCCCATAACACATTGTGTTATCTATGGATGAGTATATGAAGAGGAAAGACTTAGAGGGAAATGGGCCAACTGCTGGCAAATGGGACTAGGTCAGATTGGGATGTCTAGTCGGCGCAGATGTGTTGGACTGAAGGGCCTGTTTGTATGTTGTATGACTCTATGATGCTAAGAGTAGAAATTCTAAAGCAACATGGCATACAATTAATACCATGAAGGTGCCCTCAGCACAAATCTGTGATGAGTTAACTGCCTTCCTCTTTGCACGGGAAATCTTCCCCACCCTAACCAAGATGGACAAAGGGAGGAAGATCAAATCTATACACTACTAAGTTTTGGTCCAAATACTGTGGTCAATACTGAAGTACAACACTAAAAAATAAAAGGAACCTCCCTTGTTTAGTAATGACTAATATTTAATCAGCTTCAGCAATTTTGTAGAAATCCTCTGCAATAGTACTGATCTACAGAACAAATGATCTTAAGCTTTAACAATGGGATAATTTTGACTTTTACAAAAAAGCAAAAGGAGAAAAATAATGACTCAGCAATCCCTATTGCATTTCTGTTGATGACACCTTCTGTTGATTTCTTATTTTTCTCTTTGATTCAATGGAAATAAAAATTGGAAGACATATGAAACAGACTGCCAAGCAAGATGCAGACTGATGTTCAGTTACCCCTTTGATGGAGAAAGCAACTTAGATGCTTAAATGTAGGCATCTCACAGATTTCCATATAGCTGCATTTAATCTGCAAACCATCCAATTCTAAATTTATTATTTCTTTGTAATTGATGAAATTGCAAAAACAAGTCAAGTTGATACCCAGAAGAATGAATTTAGAACTAAGAGCACATGCAGTCTGCTAGGGTTTACTACAACTTGCTGTTTTGCCCTTAGTACTGGTTAAATACTTTATTAATTGCTTATCCAGTGACACAGGCCGAAATATCATGAATGCTTAATGGCTTTGTATATTTTAATTTGACTGCCAAATACTACTCACCAAGGAGTAACAATGAAGATCACTTCATTTTTCATAGAGTCATATAATCCCTACAGTGCAGAAAAAGGCCATTTGGCCCATCAGGTCTGCACTGACCCTCCATCAAGCATTTCAGCCAGACCCAGCCCTCACTCCCCATTTCCATAACCCCGCATTTACCATGGCTAATCCACCGAGCCTGCACATCCCTGGATATTGAGGGGCAAGTTAGCAAGACCAATCCACCTAACCTCCACATCTTTAGAGTGTGGACGAAACCGGAGCACCCATAGGAAACCCACGCGGACAAGGGAAGAATATGCAAACTCACACATACAGTCACCCAAGGCTGGAATAAAACCCAGGTCCCTGGCACTATGAATTTCATGGATATAAACATTCAATTGAGTTCAACAGCATGAAAGTATTACAGATCCTTTGTGAGGTTGTAATGGTATCACAGAAGAGGCAATTTGGTCCATCATGCATCTGTCAGGTATTTTGAAAGAGCTGTCTAATTAGTTTCACATTCCTGTTCTATCTGCCTAGTCCTGAAAATCTCTCCTTTTCAAGTACATATCCTATTACCATTAGAAAGTTGCAATTGCACCTGTTTCCACCACACTTTTGGGTCGTGAGGTAGATAGTTGGAAATTGTCCCACCCTGGTGTAATGTGAGCAATGGAAGAATGTTGGGAAAATAGAGAGAAAATGAAGAAAAACAGAATCTGGATGTCCAGAGAAAGTTTAGCAAATTGCCCCTTCAGCCTTAAATGGCAACTGATACCACAACTGGCTTTACTTATAACCACTTCTACTACTCTTCTCCTTTCCTAAGCAACTGGAT